CAGGAGACTTCCCAGCCGGGGCCCAGGGCCCTCCATGTCACACCCACCATAGCCCTGCACACAGGTTTACTCCCCACCTTCTCTAGGGAGGGACCGCCTTCCATCACCGTTTATCTCTAGTGCTGGCGGCAAGCCTGGCCCACGGAGGAAGCTCGGTGAGCGTTCACTTAGTGGCTGAGATCCTAGAATCTTTATCCCTCCCCTCGCCTCCCTTCCCACCCCTTCCCCAGATCTCACAGTTTGTCTTTTCAGAAAGTAAATCAGGTCTCCTGGGATTGCTGACGAGCAGAAGACACTGGTGTGCCCTGGGCCGTGGGAGGGGTCAGGCGGGCACAGAGGATGCGCTCAGGGCCCTGTCCAGAGTCGCCCGAAAGCTGCGCAGGGGAAGTGGGGAGCGGCGGGTCCCGCAGTCTCCTGTTGGGCTGAACCTTCTCTAGCCCACCTGCTCTGCACAGGACGTCCTGCCTTCCCACCTCAGGGCAGCCTGCGGTGTCTCCAGGCTGGCAGGACGTCCTCGGCCAATGACAAGTGCTATCCATCCTAACGGAGGGGAGATGAACTTGTCAGAGGAATTCTCCAACACAACACAGAGAAAGGCCCGCTTTGCCAGGAGCCGGCCCAGGCCGCACTCTCACACCCCGTCCGGGGAGGAGAGCGCGACCAATAGGGTCCTGGGGCTGCTGTAACAAACAGCCACCAACAGTGGCTTAAAGCACCAGAAATGTATTCTTTCCCAGTTCTGGAGGCCGGAAGTCCAAAACCAGTGCTGGACTGATACCAGGCTGAAAGCAAGGTGTTGGCAGGGCCGGGCTCCTGCCAGAGGCTGTGGGTCAGAACCAGCTTCCGTCTCTTCCGGCTTCCGGAGGCTCTTCTGGGCCTGTGGCTACCGCACTCCAGCCTCTGCCTGTGTGGTCACACTGCGGCCTCTTCTGTCTGTGGTCTCCATGTGCCTGTCTCTTAAAGACACCGACACAGCCCGCCTGGATACCCAGGGTAGTCGCCCATCCTGAGATCCTTAACGTCATCACATTTGCAAAGTCTGTGACAGTCATAGGTTCCAGGGATTAGCATGTGGACATTTCAGGAGGCCATTATTAAGCCTACCCTGCAGGCCGTGCCCAGAAGGGGAGAAACTGAGGCACAAAGCAGCCCAGTATCATAGTCTCACCTGGAAATTGAAGTCTGAACTCCCAGATCAACTCCCCTGCTGTTAAGGACTGTCCCAAGGTGGGGGGAGGCCCAGGACAGAGAGGTCCTGCTTTGCCCGTGCGGGTGTCTAAGTCCAGCCCTGCCTGCTCCTGGCGCCCCTCCCCCCTCCTGGCCCTCCCGATGGCGCCTGTGTGGGAGGCCCTGGCTGCCTGGCGGGCGTCTGGCTGCAATGCTGTCCCTTTTCTCTCCCAGAATATGTCCTTCCCCAGCATGGACTTGGTAGCCCCCCAGTGCGGGAGGCCCTAAATCCCAGCCACCNAGCTGCTCCAGCCGCCAGCCTCAAAAATAGCACCCGCGCTCTTCCAGTCAAGCCCAGAGGTGGGGTTCCGGCAGAACGTGGGTGCCCAGGCCCTCAGAATGGGGGCGTGTTTGTGAGCAGTTAGGATCAGGGTGCAGGGCAAGTTCACTCAGCAAACAGACTAAAAGCCTCGTGGCCTGGCACTGGCCTGGGCATTGGTGGTGCAGGTGAGCCCTGACCCGAGGAGCCCAGAGCCTATGGGAGATAAAATGCCAGCTGGTCCCGACCGCTGGCCATGGGCAGCCGGGGGCACCGGGCACTGCCTCCTCTGCCTGTAGCTTCCTGAGGGTCCCCAAACTCTCAGCACAGAGATGGGGCTCACATACCAAGACTTTTGTTTTCGTAAAGATATGGGACCCCTGTGGGGAGTCTTAGTGTCTGCCGGGGCAGAACCCGGGCTGACTTCTGGGTTCAGGGTGTCCTCACTGCTCTGGCAACTCCACATCCTGAAGAAACACAGGCCCTCACCCCAGGAATGCTTGGCTGGACCACAGAGTGGGGCCCAGGCCCCTCTGAGGGCACAAACAGGCCTGGCAGTGCCAGCAGACACGCATGAGATGGAAAAACTTTGCTCAGTTGGGCCTGCAGATGCTGTAGGGCCCCGTGTCTGCCCTGCCCTGGCAGCCCGGCCTCACCCCTGCCAGCTGCGTGAGTCATCGAAGGGACAATGAGCCAAGCAAGTCCCAGCCCAGCAACTGGGAGTCCGACGAGGCTGGGGGTGGGGAGGCCAGCGGGGGAAGGGATGGGCTCGTTCTGGGCAGCGGGAGAGGGGCCGGGAGCCAAGGCTTTGGCGAGAGTCGGGCTGGGGCTGGAGCCGGAGAGAGAGGTCCTGCGGTGTGTCACCCTGATATCGGCCTTTCCTGGAGTTGGAGGGGTGTAGGCACCATGGGTGGTCACCCCACTAGGGCCCTAGGACGAGCCCATGTGTTTCTCGGTGGCCAGGCTGCCATGAGGCGGCACCGTAGCCCCAGCTTGGCCTCCGGTCTTCCTGCTCCAGTGTGCACGCCGTTCTGTCCGGAATGTGACTTTTCTCTTGCTTGAACTCCCCAGGGGCTTCCGTGCTGCAGGGCGGGGTTTGCCGTTCCCCACAGTTGGGGCACTTCCTCTTGTCTGTGCCCACACCCCGGGTGGCTGAGGGGACCACCACAGAGCAGAGTCCCAGCCTGCGAGCGTCAGTGCCACGGCCCAGGGGCTCTCCAGCCGGGCCCCAGCTGCGGGAGGAGGGACAGCCAGGTGTCCTCGGGGGCTGTTTGATCAGCTCAGCCTCTGCTGGGTCCCCTGTCAGGCAATTCCACTCAACTCATCCTCAACCTGGGCACCTGCTGAGGAAATGGAGGCAGAGAAAGGGACTGCAAAGTGGGGACAGCGGTGAGGGCCAGCAGGGGCACATTGGGAGCAGGTGAGGTGGTCTTTCAAAGGGAGGAGAATAGCATTCTGACTATCAGAGTGGAAGGCGAGGTGTTCGGGGGAAGAAACTGCCTGGGCACAGGTGCCAGGGCTGGGGCAGGTGAGGGGCACAGGAAACACCAGGTTTGCCCAGAATCTGGGGCGCGACTGCTGAGCACAGAGAGGTGGGCTGGCTCAGAGCCCCGATCGCTGGCCGTGGCGTTCGGACATCTTTTTATAGGCTGCACCCCAAAGCTTCTGTTCTTAACACACACACCTCTTTTTTTTTACTACAGAAATATATGCATTGAANGGGCCGCAGGGCGCACGGCCGCGGAGCCCGCGGCGTCCCCGGGCCTCGGGGCCCCATGGCGGCCGCGGCGGCGGTGCTCCGGGAGGGCGTGCTGGAGAAGCGCAGCGGCGGGCTGCTGCGCCAGTGGAAGCGCAAGCGCTGCGTGCTCACCGAGCGCGGGCTGCAGCTCTTCGAGGTCAAGGGCGCGGGCGGCCGGCCCAAGGAGCTCAGCTTCGCGCGCATCAAGGCGGTGGAGTGCGTGGAGAGCACCGGGCGCCACATCTACTTCACGCTGGTGACCGAGGGCGGCGGCGAGATCGACTTCCGCTGCCCCCTGGAGGACCCTGGCTGGAACGCCCAGATCACCCTGGGCCTGGTCAAGTTCAAGAACCAGCAGGCCATCCAGACGGTGCGGGCCCGGCAGAGCCTCGGCACCGGGAGCCTCGGGACCCTCGTGTCCTAAACGTTCACGCGCTCCGCCGACACGGCGCCCGGGGTCATGTCAGGTAAGCCTCCGGGGGCTGCGCGCTGTTCTCACCTGGCCTCCCTTCTCCACTTTCCCTGCGGAGGGATGGGGACTCCTGCCAGCGTCTGGCTTCAATGCTGGACCAACAGCGTAGGAGCCTAGGAGCGAGCATGGGGGGTCTGTCCCCCCCTCCCCACCACCCGCAGGAGCTGGACTTGCCCCTGGGGCACCAGGCAGGGGGTCCTGAACGTGTCTGAGAGGAATTCGGGCAGGATGCACCTTCCCACAGGTTGCCTCTGTCCTGACTCAGGTGGCATGGCACGAGGCCAGCCTGCACTTGCCCTCAGACCGCTGGGCCACTGCCCGCACCAGGGCACAGGGCCTGCACGGTGGCTTTCTGGGAGCTGGGAGCACCCAGGGTGAGGTGAGCCGCAGCCTGCCCCTCCTGTCAGGATGCACGCTCCTCCTGGTAGGAGAGTTGGAGCATGGGATCGAGGCAGAAAGACTGTCCCTCGTTAGTGCGATCATCAGGGGATGGGAACGGACCCAGGAGCCCACTCCCCAGGGAGGGCCTCGGCGGGAGGGCTCGGCTGGCCTGGGCTCCACCAGCCTTTCTCCACAGTGAGTGGGCTTTGGGTCCTAGGGCCCAGCTGATGGGAGACCAGGTGAGCTGGAGTGGGCAGTGCAGGCCAGAGGCCAGGCCACTGATGCCCAGGGGTGGGCCTGCCTGCCTGCGTCTGAGTGCCAGTCCGTGCCAGTCAGTGCCCAGTGGGGCCAGAAGAGAAGCTGGAGGCGGGTGGGGCCTGGGCAGGGTGAGGGGATCAGGGCAGGAGGGGTCAGGGCTTGTTATTTGTGCTGCCTTAATCCTCTGCGAGCAGTAGGGCAGGGGGTGGGGGTGGATTTGTTGTTGGGGAGGCCCACGGGAGGGACCAGGAATAGAACCTGGAAGGTCTGGTCCCTAGCCCTGCCAGCCCCGTGCCCTCTGCCCCAGATAGCACGCTCTCCCCTGGGAGCTGGGAGCAGGGCTGGGGAGGGCTTTGCGCCACTCCAGTTTTAATTTCTCAGGTGGAAACCTAAGTCCTCCCCACTCCATTCCTCATCTTTTCAGCCCTTAACAAGGAGAGGGCCATACACCCCTCTGACCCTCTTGAGAACTACCCCCCACCCCCACTGTGAGGAGGGTTAGCCCAGGCCTGGGAGTGGGGAGCAGGCCCCTCCCTCCATCACAGCGCATGTACATCTCTGCGTTTGTCTTGGCTTGGGATGGGGGGGGGGGTCTGCAGTAAAGCGGCCCACAGTGCACACTCCTCGCCCAGCGTCTGCGCCTGCCCTAACTGCTTTCTCTCCTGCCAGCTCCCCTGCCCAATTTTTGGCTTCATCTGGCGAGGCAGATTCGTGGTCACGTGCAGGAGGCGTTGGAGCTAAAGGGACACTTGGCCCGGGAAGGAGGGCAGAAGCCACATGGGCTGAGGATGAAGATTCGGGCCCTGGACACTCTGATGCTCAGGACATACCCAGCTCAGGGCCTTCCAGCCACAGGCCTGACTCACGTGTCATGATGAAGAGCTGGCATCACAGCCCCCTTCTCCGGGGCTCCGCCGCCTGTTCTGCAGACTGCTGTTTGTCCCCGGCTTGGGGCACTGAGCCTCAGGACTCAGTACCAACACAGAGGAGGATCGCCTCTGGACTGACTTTGGTGGGGGGTGGCTGATGGGCCTGAGGCCCACGCTTGGGGGTCTCCTGCTGCTCCGGTCCCTCTGGGGGCCCCCGCGCCTCCAGGCCGCTTTGCACACTCCTTTCCCTGCCTCCTGCCTTCTGCCCCTGGAGGGGGTGGGGTGTGGCGCTCGGCCTGGAGAGGGTGGGCGTGGGGTGGGGGCTGGCCATCACCATTTCATGCCCTTTCCAAAATGAAGACGCCTCAGAAGGCAGTGAGCTCACCGTTTGTTGAGTGAGATTCTTTGCCCACAAACACCCAGTGCTGGGAGCACCCCTCCCCTCGCCCCACTTCCCCGACCCACAGCCCACTCTGAAATCTCCATCCTGGGTAGGGGGAGACAGTGCAACCCAGGACACTTGGCCTCAGTGGTCCTAGGAAGGAGGGACCGTCAGGGCTGGACGGAGGGATGCTGTGCTGGCCAACCCCGTCTCCCTAACTGCCTCGTCTCCGGAGGGCGGCCTGCCCCTGCTACCTGGACAGAGTGGGTCTCTGGTCATTTACACTCAGGCTTTGTTCATTTGTACAGAAAGCACTCCTTACTGGAGGGTGTAACAGGAATAATTTCAGCACAAGAGAAGCTGTGCTGATTACAGAGAAACAGTGTCCTGAGTTATTATAAAGACGATTAGTCGGGGCCCCGAGACCTCTCCACACATGGTCGGCAGCTCAGTTCCTTTCCT